AACAAATAAACAAACAAACATTTTCTAATTTAAATTAGGCATGTGTCATTCAGTTGGTAGTTTGAGACCAATTTCAAGTATTTATTTGCTTCAGGCTTGCCTTTTCTCAGAACCTTTCAGGGTTTCCTCAGCATTCTGGGTTATTGTCACGATGGGGTTTCCCCTTGACCTTCTATCTAGTTTTTTAATTTCCACTGTAGTTCCTCTCATACTTGAATAACAAGAAAGGGGAGTTCATTTACATGCCGAAGAACATAAATGTGATCAAAGTAGAATTTAATTAAGGTCTGAGGGTGGAAATAAAATCCACAGCAACATCCACTGTGCAAATATTCAGTGTCTACCTCAGGGCGTGATCAGATGGCTCTGCTAGCCTTCCTGCTGGAGAGAATGGACTCCTAGAGCCAAGGAGATGTCTCCCCTGTCCTGTGACACTGAAATGCTGGCTTGCTTTTTTCCCTTTACTCCCTGTTCCATGACATTGAAATGTTGAGTTGTCCCCCCCCCCCCCCCGTTTTCCTGTTTCCTTCTCAGCTGGTGATTTTCTAGGCAATAGAAGCGTGTTTTGACTTCAGTCCAGTGACATCTACTCACTGTTTGTGCAAGGGGATGGGCAGCCTGGGTTCGCTGGGGTACCTGGGGACAGGACATGTCTATGAATATGGGTACAGTCAGTTGGTGGTCACCTTTCTGGATGGCTGTCTCTTTATATCCACTTTGACTTTCACCAGATAGCTACTTCCCCCACTCATTTCTTTAAAGCAATTCTGACAACATTTTCCTCCCCCGCCCCCGCTCAATTACTATGCAATCAGCACCAGGTAGTTACTGCGACATAATCTCCAAGTTAGCATTTAAAACATCTTGTCTTGACTGGGATGTGGGGTGCACACCTTTTATATCTGCACTCAGGAGGCAGAGGAACAGGTATCTAGTGAGTTCCAGGACACCTAGGACTATGTGGAGAGACCCTGTCTCAAACAAAACAAAATAATCCTCCCAAATGAATTCACATACCCTTTTACCTTTGACTGAGTACACATCAGCTCAGCTCCAGTCTCTTCTCCAGCTCCGCCTCATCCCTATACTAAATTATTTCTTTCCCAGCTTGCAGCAAAATGGACTGTCTATCTAAATGGGGAATTTTTTAAAAAGTAGACATGCAGATTCGTGCAAGCCACCAAGTCTCCCTTTAAAGGGGTGGATGGGAACCTGTCCCTTACATTACTGCTGCTCATGTGTTTAGTGCGCCATCTACTGACCCAGTAAATGACTCCTTTCTGTCATAGAAGAAAGGGGAGCCTGAGATTCTAGAAAGAGAAAAGCAGCTCCAGGCTGAGGTGGCTCCCTCTTAGGACACCACTAGCTTGCTAACGTAACTGTATTTCAACTTTACTATCGCCCAGGGTAGGCACAGGATTCGGATGTTGTGCACATGGCTGGGATCTCATGGAATACATGAGAATTCAGGAAAAAGGATGAGATCTTAAACGACCTGGTGGGAAGGGTAAAAGGTAAGCTGCACAATTACTCTGGAAAGTAGAAACATCAAAGGATAAGTGTTCCAGTTGAACAAACCAACGAGACTCTTTTAGGAACAACGGAAACCATATAGAAATTGAGAGTATATGTTAGAAAGGAAAGGCGCAGGCAGAAAATGAAAGATGAGGGCAGGACACCTTGGTCCCCTGTGCACTCTAAACAATGCGAACACCAGGTCCAAACTTCAGCTCCACCACCCTAGTTATTTGTGTCATGACAAGAAACCTGCCTCTGTCCAGCTATAAGGTGAGGAGATCACCCTCTTCCCAGCTGTGTTAAGTAACAGACTATGTATGAAAGCACCAAAGGCCTTGAAAATGTCCAGCAAACAGGCAACTTGTCAGTAGGAGAAAAGAGAAGAAAAACAGCAGCAACAAATAAGAGAAGGGAGAAAGCTTAGGGATGGCAGCGCAGAACACATCTGAAAAGAATGAAAACAACACCTAGACTCTACTCCTGGGCACGAGGCATTGATCCACTTTACCGTTCGCGCTGAAATTGGCTCTGACTTTCATGTATTCACAGCGGTGCCCAGTGGACAGGGCACCTACCTGCCTGGTCCCCTGTGGTACCCAGTGGACAGGGCACCTACCTGCCTGGTCCTCTGTGGTGCCCAGTGGAGAGGGCACCTACCTGCCTGGTCCCCTGTGGTGCCCAGTGGACAGGGCATCTACCTGCCTGGTCCCCTGTGGTGCCCAGTGGAGAGGGCACCTACCTGCCTGGTCCTCTGTGCACTCTAAACAATGAGGTAAGAGTGCTATATCCAAAGCCCCTGACAGGAATTTCCTCAACTCTCTGCTCAGAGCTTGGTATGCAGAAACATGCACATGGAACTGAGAAAGATGGATCTGACTGAGGGCTGTAACTGGGGATGAAGCTTTTACCCATTGAAAGAAACTTTTTGCAGGGCTTAGTTCACAAGGCTTTGGTGAGCCCTGGGTTGCCACTGTTGGTCAGTTAATAATAGAAAGAGAGGTTGGGAGAAATGCCCACAGGACCTGAATAGACACTTGGGTCCCTTCTCACTCAAAGTTGAGTCCACATGGGAGATCCGGGATGTGGAAGTTGCCACTGTCTCTAGAGCCTGCAAAGCCTGATCTGATTATTTCTTTGTGTGGGTGCACATGTGTGTGTGTTATGTGTACACGTGCATATTCACATGTGTGCACACGGTAGCAGGGAGTGGAGGCTCGGAGGCTAACATCAGTCACATTCGTTAGTCCCTCTCCACTGTCTTTTCTTTAATGTGTCTGAATGTTTTCCTGCATTTATTCATGTGTACCATGTGCATGCCTGTGACAGCAGAAATCAGCAAGTAGCGATCTCCTGGAGCTGTAGTTGTGGATGGTTGTGAGACTCCATGTCGGTGCTGGGAGTGGAATCCACATCCTCTGCATGGGCAACTAAAGCTCTTAACCAGTGAGTCTACCCAGCCCTCTGGAGCTTACTGATTCAGCTAGACAGTGATCACCAGGGATCCGAGTGCCCTGATCCTTCTCCCCAGTGCTGCATTTACAGCCTCGGTGCCCACTTTTTATGTGAGTCCTGGGGATCCCAACTTGGGTCCTCATGGTTGAGAAACAAATACTTTACTGACTGAGCCATCTTCTTAGTCCCTCACATAACTACTTCTAGGGACTGTAAAAGATTCTAGATTCCTAGAACATCTGAAGAGCTGAATATTATAACACACACACACACACACACACACACACACACACACACACTGTGTTTACCATCTCTACAGAAGGGTTGGGAGCCAGAATGCCCATTACCTGATGTAATGTCCAACTGAGCAGCCTTTGCCTACGTCGCTAACCTTTTACCAGTTTCCAGCCATCCCAAGAAATAAGGACCAAGAACACAGTAATGTGAGCCCCAATTAGCATAACATAAAAACAACTTAGTCATGTTTTCCATGGGCTTTTCCAACCTCAAACTCAAAGCATAAACCAGGCAGAAAGAGATAAAAATACAGGCGTGGAACTATAAATAGACGCGTGCTGTCTGGATATGCACTGCCAAGTTCTGTGGCCCAAGTGAGCAGATGTCTCCAAGAAAATCAGCCAGGTGGAGAAACCTGAGGATTTTCCCCTTTCAGACCCTAGTGTGAGAATCGACAGGAAGGGAACCATCCCTGATGGCTCGGTACGGCAAGGAAGGGGTTAAGTCCCCAGTCCTCCCATTCTGAAGTGATTTACAATGATGTGTAGTGTTTCAAAACTTTCCCCAGCCCAAGCACAACTCTCTCCCTTCTCACCAGGTTCACTGACTCTCCCTGTACTGAAATGGAAAGGAGGCGTGTTTTGCTGATCTGGTAAATTCTTAGTGAAGTTTTCTTGATTTCCAGCGGCTGCTGTTGTTTGAGTTTGGTTTGGAGCAAACCTGAGGTAGTCCTGACATTTCTGGAATGGAATCCAGATGAGGAAGAAGAAATCAGAGGACACGGAAGAAAGAGGAGAAAAAAAAGGTGGGGAGAAATAAAGGGAGGAGAGACGGAAGGAAAGGGGGAAAACTCCCTTTCCCCACATTCGCAGTCCCGTTTCCCCGCAGCCTGGAAAACATATTAATCCCAGTGCCTTGTCGCTCGGAAACAAAGGGACTCGGCCAGACTGTGTGAAGAAAGGGAGATAAGAAAGATCTTGGAACTCCACAGAGGGCAAGAGTGAGATTCAGAAATCCCTAGGACTTCACTTTACGGAAAACCCTGGTGGTAGCAAAGGACCAACTCCCACAGACCCAGGAGAAACTACAGACCAATGGAGATGCGAACAGTCCCCCGGAGGAACGCAACTTTCATCTCTTCTCACTGGACCAGAAAGTAAAAAGACACAGGCAGGCAGGAAAAGGATCGGTCCAGCTCCAAAGGCTGAGCTTCCTGGGGCTGCTTTCTCCAACAGGAGCTGCAGCACACCCCTTTTGTATTGCTCACCCTCCACGAGACGGAGGGCTGGAAGGAAAAGGAGTTCATCTAGGAAACTGTCCTGGGGACCAACCTTTCCATTTCTCTGGAAAGCCTGCGCACTCCACCTCCATGAACCAAGACGTAAGTGTGCAATCTTTGCGTTTTTTTGCTGTTTGCTTCGCTGTTGCTTTTTTGAAGACATGAAGTGTGAATGCTGTCATAATTACAGCGCTCGGTTTACAGGGTCTCTGGTGCATCCAGAGCACAGCTGAGGCAGTGCAAGCGTGCCTGCCGCCCCGCCAGTGAAGCAGGGTTGGATTTCCTGCTTAAGGACTGCCTCTGCTAAGCCCTGACACTCACAGAAGCATGAACGCAACAGGCTCTCACCCTGCTTTGTCTCCTCTGCCCTCCCTCCCCTTTCTTCTCTAGCTACCCCTTCCCCTTGGCCAAGATAGAGAAATAGATGATGCCCAGCTCTGTTGGCAATTAATAATTCTCTCTCTCTCTCTCTCTCTCTCTCTCTCTCTCTCTCTCTCTCCTCTGCATTCCCAAGTGGATAACACAATGATGTGGAAAATGGGACCGCATTTCACCACACTGTTGGCCATGTGGCTGGTGTGCGGATCAGAATCTCATTCTCCTATCTTGGATAGAGACAGTCACCCAGTGGGCAAAGTCTCTTTGGCCTCTCCAATCAGCACTAGGTCCGCCCGGTATCTGAGGCACGCAGGGAGGTCCGGTGGAACTGAGAAATCCACTCAGGAAGAACCAAATCTTCAGCCTTCTCCAAGGAGGAAGAGTGTACCAGTGTTGAGATTAGCTCACCCGACCGTGAGGCCAACCCCCTTAGGTGTCGATGGAGTCCCAGTCAGACCTGACTTGAGACAGATCGCTAGGAGCTCTCCGCGTGAGATGGTCCGTGATGAGGGGTCTTCTGCTCGGTCAAGAATGTTGCGTTTCCCTTCTGGGTCCAGTTCTCCCAATATCCTGGCCAGCTTTGCCGGGAAGAACCGGGTGTGGGTCATCTCAGCCCCTCACGCCTCAGAGGGCTACTACCGACTCATGATGAGCCTCCTGAAGGATGATGTGTATTGTGAGCTGGCTGAGAGGCACATTCAACAGATCGTGCTCTTCCACCAGGCCGGTGAGGAAGGGGGCAAGGTACGAAGGATCACCAGTGAAGGCCAGATCCTCGAGCAGCCCCTGGACCCCAGTCTCATCCCAAAGCTGATGAGCTTCTTAAAACTGGAGAAGGGCAAGTTTAGCATGGTGCTGTTAAAGAAGACTCTGCAGGTGGAGGAGCGCTACCCTTATCCCGTCAGGCTGGAGGCCATGTATGAGGTCATTGATCAAGGCCCCATCCGTCGGATCGAAAAGATCAGACAGAAGGGTTTCGTCCAAAAGTGTAAGGCCTCGGGCATAGAGGGCCATGTGGTCCAGGAAGGGAACAATGGTGGTGGAGGAGCTGGAAGCACGGGCCTGGCCAGTGAGAAGAGGAAAGAGGACCCAAGGAGAGTACAAGTCCATCCTACTAGAGAGCCTCAGAGAAAGTTGGTCACCACCAAGGCAGCCACTCCCCAACCTCCCCCAACCCCAAGGGCCACCACTCTTCTTCCTACTCCAGTGACAATGGTCACTCGTGCCACATCCCGGATGGTGACAGTAGCTGCAAGACCTACAACCACGACTGCCTTTCCAACCACCCAGAGGCCCTGGACATCCCGGCTGCATCCTTTCTCAGTCTCCCACGGGCCTCCTGCAGCAACTGAGGTGACCACGGCCAGGGGCACTTCCGTTTCAGAGCAGCTCTACCCTCTGTCTCGGAAGGAGCAACAAAGGGAGAAGCCACAGGCCACCAGGAGGCCCAACAAAGCCACCAACCATGGGGGCTTCACAGCAGCCCCACCCACCACCCTCTGGGAGGGCAGCACAAGAGCTGTGGGCACAAGTCGTTTCCGCGACAACCGGACAGACAGACGAGAACATGGCCATCAGGACCCAAATGTGGGGCCGGGTCCTCACAAGAACGCAAAGGGGAAGCCGCCCAAAAAGAAGGACAAAATTCTCAGCAATGAGTATGAAGCGAAGTACGACCTCAGCCGGCCCACGGCCTCTCAAGGGGAGGAGGAACTGCAGGTGGATAATATTCCCTCTCAGAATGCAAAGGAGTCGAAAAAGCCCGAAAAGCTCGGGAAACCTGAGAAGGAGAAGAAAAAAAAAGGGAAGGGTGTGAAACCAGACAAGCTACTCAAGAATGAAAAGCAAGCGAAGAAAGCCGAGAAAAAGAGCAAGCAGGAGAAAGAAAAGAACAAGAAGAAGAAGGCTGGTAAACCAGAAGAGGATGCCTATCAGAAGCCCACACCAAAGCAACTCACACCAAGCCCCAAGAAGTCAGTGAGCGACCTGCTGGGCTCTTTCGAAGGCAAACGAAGACTCCTCGTAAGTAATCTCTTTGGCGTTTTTTCCCATGTGCTGAGGTGGGACATTGACGGGTTTGTCATATTGTATATGTTATAAAATCACATTTTGGGTGATAGAGTGGGTCTGAGCCTGCCTCGTGTTCAGGAAGGTTGGGGGCAGGGTGCGGTGGATCATGCCTTTTGACACTAGCACTTGGGAGACAGATGAATTTCTGTGAGTTCTAGGTCAGTCTGGTCTACATGCGAGATGGTTGCTGTGATTGTCAGAGAAACGTTTTAAGCTGGTGGGCAGGTATTCTCTCTCTTCAGGAAGGCTGCTTCCTCCATTGCTGTCCCAAATTACTAGGAAGAGCAGAAAGAATCCCAGGATGGCATGTGGACTGAGCTATTTGCTCTGGCTTCTAGAGCCTCGGAGGTGTGTATGAATTTGGAGTCAGCTGTCAGTTTCTCCCGAGGCTGTATTGGAAATGGGTATGTGTGCCCATGTTGGGGGAAAGGAGATAAGCCATCCACACTTCTGTTTAGCCTGCTGTTCTGGGTACCTCTAGTGTGCAGTGTGCTCATACATATCAGGAACGTTTTCTTTGAGCATTACTTGCCACTGTCAGTAAAATGGTAAAAAGGATTTAGATAAATTGGAAGAAGGCTTTGGGCAGGAACAAACCAAGCCTAAATGGAAGGTCTTTTCTCATCAAGGACAGGACATGACTCCTCTTGTTTATGACTCCTTCTGCATGCCTCCTTGTTTCAGATACCCCCGCCCCCAGATTTCTACTGTAACTTTGACTTTGTAATACCACAGTGTTAGCCTGGGCTGCCAAGGGGGAGTTTAATATGTTACACATAATATACAGTAAGAGACCAGCAAGTTGATATTGGGTGAGGCAAGTCATGAATGCTGTTCTTAGATATTGGTGGATGGAGCCATGCAAGGTCATTGTGACCACCACACCCATCCTCCTGAGCACAGGATCTGACTCCTTGCCTACATTCATCTTGCACACTAGACAGGCACCCTTCTCTAAGGCATTCCTCAAGAATTCATTTTGCTCAGCATGGCCTAAATTTGGATTAATGATCTGAGCAGAGAGACTCTTGACGGCCATGTATCTTTAGTGGTTTCAAAATGTTTAAATGCACATTTGAAGCGTTAACCAGAGCAGAGGTTTTTGTGGTATTTGCTCTGGGTGGAGCATGTCCTGAGTTTTCTTTTCATCTCCATCAATGGAGGTGTCAGGGAGTAGAACAAAACCTAAGGTCTGGCTGATTTTGAGAGACAGAAAGAGAGAGGCCCAGAGAGAGAGAGAGAGGGAGAAAGAGAGTCCCAGTAGTACTTTCTGTAAGTTCATGGCATTTTAAACCACATTTCTCAAGTGACTGTACAAATTTAGGCAATCAAGTGATAGTCTATTTGTTTAAGTAGTTTAACAGCTGCTTGTATAATCCCAGGATGCACAAACTGTCCCAATTAGAGCCATGAGAATCACTGATTTAAAGTAGAACTCTATCCAGTACCTGGATATTTGTCCAGGATCTGTGGAGCCAAGCTGCTCTCTTGGGGGCGTGGGAAAGCCTTACCACTTGAGTTTCTTAGCTGGCTGAGTACCTGGGACTTTGCCCAGCCCACTAAAGCAGCCTCTCACCCAATTCTGTCCATTTAGACAAGGCAAGCAGAGCACTCCTCATGGCCAGAGTTTAAGCACAGAAAGAAGTAATCAAGGGTAAAATGTCAGGATTGTAATTGTGCACCCGTCTAACAAATACTCTCATTGCCCCAAGCGGGTAAGTCAAAAGAAAGAGGTTTTCATATGCGATCCCTGGTGTTAGCTGTGCCTTCAATTTCTCTTGCCTACACCGTGTTCTCTGTGTTAGGGATCAGGGTGCCCAAGTGGGGCTTCTCCACTTTTAACAGTATCCCTGGTCATAAATTGTTATCAAATGAAACTCAAAGGATAGCTTTTGCTGATGTCATGCGAGGCAAGGCAGAAACCAGCCGGAATTGCTTCTGCCTATGTTGGCTCTTTGGAGCTAGCCAGAGAATGAGGTTTGTTATTAGAAAGAAAATCCCAACAGGGCACAGTTCAGTCTGTCAGTCCTGAGTGGGGCCAGCTGATCATATCACACATGTGTCTTCTGAAGTGCTAATGCTGTGTGAAGGGAGAACGGGGTAGAGAAGATGAGATGGAGCTGCCATGATACCAAAACAATGCTTCCAGGTAGAAGGCATTACTCATGCATGAATCCCTTCCCACTCACTTTTCCCATCAGTCTCTGCTGATGTTATTCAGGAAGTGTGGCGATTCAATTAGCATTCAGGAAAGCTAAGCAGTTTTGAGCTGTTAAAGTATGGTGGAGAGCATGGGCTTCTAGCCTTGACTTAACCTGGTGTGCTCAACCTAAGAGTGGCTTTGCATTCCAGGAAATGGTGTGGACTTTCTGGCTCATTTCTCCAGCTTTTCAGTAACTAGATCCCTGACTCTAATCTATCGTAAACCCCTGGTGCTTTGGATTCATTCATGCCATTCTTTGGATATGAAAACATCCCATAACTGCTGTTTAACCGATTACTCAGGGATACTCTAGCAGCAACTGTGTAAGTTGTGGTTGAGCGAATGGCTTCTTCCAGGCCTTCAAGTGCATTGCAGATAGATCTAGGTACCATGCTTTTAAGTCAGAGCATAATCCTTTAAGCACTTTGCCTCTCAGTTTCTTAAAAAGTACAGATTCTACCTGTGAGGCACTTTGTTGAAGCTTCATGGTTCTGTTCTCACAATTCCTACAAGGAATGGCTTATTTACTTTCTTTCCCAGATGAGAAACCACAAGTTTAGATTTCTTGAGACGTTCACCCAAGGCATGTAGCTATTATGTAGGAAAGACCTTGTCTCTGTTCAACTTCAAAGTCAATCCACACTCAACCTCCCTTCCACTGGGCCTTGGGAAGTATATGCCCCCCCCAAAAATGGGAAATTGGAGAATAAAACTGTCCATTAATAAAGTATGAACATTTAAAACTTCATTTTGGGGTTAGTTAGATGGCTGAGCAGGTAAAAGTACCTTCTACCAAGCAAAGCAACATGAGTTCAATTCGCAGCTCCCACATGGTAGAAAGAAGCATCCCCCACAGCTGTCTTCTGGCTTCCACACGCATTGCAACTCCCCACACCCCACATGTAATAAATAAACAATATAAATAATAAACAGTAGTTTTTTATAACTTCATTTTGAACTTTGAGTTAACAAGACAAGTGAAGAAACAGTTCCATTTTTACAGGAAGTGCAAAGGTGGAGTCACTGCCTTTCCTACGCAGCTCAACTCAGGCTCTCCAGGCACTGGCTGGGGAACAGTGGACTGGATCCATTTTTCTCTTCCTTCCATCTGTTTGCTGCCCATTTGGGGGCTACAGAGATGGTGGACAGCTGTTTAGCACTAGAGTGCTGGTCCTTATGGACGGTAGCTAACAGACAATCCTTTGGTGGCTCTTAGATGCGCCCAGTGACAGCTCACAGGGACCTTCCATATGTTGAACTGCACAAATGCAGGCTCAAATCTTAGCTCTCTTTGCCGATGGAATCTCCTACAGTCCAAGTGGACTCTGCGACAGAGACCTGGGAACTGAGATAGCAATCTACTTACTGGGTTTAGTTTTATAAAAGGGCTTAAAGTTCTGTTTTATAAGGCAGTCTCCAAGACTGAAAGCTGGTTTATGGAATCCTTTAAAAATCTTGCGTTTTAAGCCTCACACAGTACTCAGACTTAGGGAAGACTGAAAATATGTCAAATCTTCTGACTCCTGTTTGTTCCCTTTACTTACACAACCAGGTTTCATTCTCCTCTAGGACTCATTGACCCAACACACTGTTGGAACAGAGACACAAATCAGATCACAGGACAACTGTAAATTCAGGACACATGCACGGAGTTATTGCCATTGAGCTGGCAAGAGACCAAGTGACAGGACCTACACTGAGGAGTACTGTGGTGTTCCTTCTAGGAAGAGAAAACTTGGAACAGTTTCCATGTTAAGCAGTATTAGAATTGCTGACAAGCTGAGAAATAATAGATGTGACAGAGATGTCAACACACAGGGAAAGACACTGACATGGCAGGTGACCAGCTGCTTCTGTTTCCCTGTGCAAACTCCATCAGTAAATGAAGTGTTAGGAAAAGGCTTTCAGTCTGGGTTACGGGCTTTGTCTAGATGCGTGCATAGTCAGGGATCCTCATGCTTCTGAGTTCTCCCTGCCCTGATATGAATGGACTGATTTCTAGCTTGTATAATGTGGACCAGACATCATGGAACACAGGATAGCTTCCTGGTCTGAGATCTTAGTGCCTTAAGGAACTTGATGTCAACATAAAATATATGTAAAGGAGATACAAAATTTCCATGCGTGCTGTGCAGACCAGTAGAACTGTACTTAAAAGGAGTGAGTCTTTGAGATTGGGTAATGGAGGAGGATGTGGGAGGCTAGAAGACATGGACAAGCACAGATGGTAGGAGAATCAGTGAACTAGTCAGAGGCAACAGACATGCATGTGTTTGGATGCATAGCCCCGGACAAATATGCATGTATATTGTTCAGTTCCTGAGACTTATGAAGTTTGCAGAGAGGTTGCTCTGTGGTAAAGATGACAAAGGTGAGAAGCCACAGGCTGTCCAGGGGTTGAAGTAAGACAAAAATGTCAGGCCTCCTTCTCTGATGGTAGACATCACCCTTTCCTCTGTGCCACATTGCCCAAAAGTTGCTTTTATTTCATGGTTGGAATTGGTCTGATAACAAGTGTAAAGAGAATGCATAAGCCCGGGGAGAGAGCCTGCAAAGCCAGAAGCCAGGAATTGAATCATGCAACACGAACATCACCTGCCTGGTGACTTAAAGCATCCCTGGGCAAAAGCTCCAGGTTAAAATAAAGCTGTGAGGATGTCCTTTCTCTCAGGTTCCTACTGGGCATTGGTGGCCTGACATTGTTGTATACCTATGTGGAAGAAGCTGGCATGCAAGGGAGGAAGGGCATCTCTGAGATTGCATATTGTCTGAAATTCTTAATTATACATGCCCGGGAGGAGAAGACTGCAGGAAGCTTTGAAAATTCTTAAAATATGGCTGTGGACCACAGGCTCCATGACAAAGGATGAGGCAAGGAAACGAAGCCTGGGTGTGGATACAAAGTGAGAGGACAGTAATTATCATCATTCTAGTGTCTGGGAAGCTGTGCCATGGAACTTCCTAGATTATATTCCAAATACGGGCCAGGAGTTCAAAATCTTGAATGGTCGATCTTTTCATCTTTGTTTTCAGTGTTTTATATTCTCACTTTAACAACATTTTGCTCATTCCAAAATGGTCTGTTTATGAACAAAGACATGCCAAGATAGAAAAAGAAAAATCTAGAATATGTCAAGTTAAAATAAAATTTCTTCCTTCCCTTTCAAAATACATATAGCTAATTAAAAACAAACTAACAACCAAAAATATGATCAATGTATCTTTTTAGAACCACCCTATTTTTTTTTCTTAGGGCTAAATCTGAATCAATGAGTAAATTTTAAGCAGTATGAGGAATTTTAATACTTTCCCTCATGGAAAAGTATCTCTTAACACATATTTCCTGCTGTTATGTCCATATGAACAGGCATGAAACACAAAATCAAAAATGAGCTGAAACATGTCTACTTAAAATGATGAACTAAAAAATTTCTTAAAAAGCAAAACCAAAAACCTTAGCTACTATTCCACTCAAAGTCTTCCAGAAGCATTTAACTTCCTGGAGGGAGTATTTAGTTAAGCACAGAGATTTCAGCAAGGAAAGCTTGTAGGTATCAATAAACAACTCTGAGGGAGAAAAAACATAAACAGCAAGATCAGTTTGGAGCCAAATTTACTGGCCATTTTTGATAAAAAAAAAATATTTGACAGAAGTTACCAGCATAGTAATGTCTCCCACCAAAAAATGCTAAACTGCTAGACACAGACTTTTAGAAAGAGTTTATAAGTTTTGGGTGCATAAATAGAAAATGGAATGTTAAATTTAAACATGGCTGAATGCAGGAAAATGTTTACAGGAACAAAAAATATAGGGACTTGCTTCCAAGCCCTGTCTATGATGAGCCAACAAAGGATGCCTGGACAGGGCTCACTGTAGACACCTGCCATGTGAGTTCTCTTGGTTCCAGGAATCAACAATACCTGGCCATGATCAGAATGCATCTTCATGTCTTCCCTCTTTTAGGACAAGCAAAGTGATGCTGCCCATTCTTGGCATGTGGAAAACAGGCTTAGTCTCAGCTTGGAAAATCTGTGACATTGGAGAAAGTTTCAAAAAGGCAACTAAAATGATCAAATTAGGGGCTGGAGAGATAGCTCAGCGGTTAAGAGCACTGCCTGCTCTTCCAAAAGTCCTGAGTTCAATTCCAGCAACCACATAGTGGCTCACAACCATCTGTAATGAGATCTGGTGCCCTCTTCTGGCCTGCAGGCATACATGCAGACAGAATATTGAGAATACTGTACACATAATAAATAAATCTTTTTGTTTGTTTTTTTTTTTTGTTTTGTTTTGTTTTTCGAGACAGGGTTTCTCTGTGGCTTTGGAGCCTGTCCTGAAACTAGCTCTTGTAAAATAAATAAATCTTTAAAAAGAATAAAATAAAATGATCAAAGTATTGGAGAAGTTTTCCTGTTAGGGTAGATTCAAAACATTGTGACATTCTAGAGGATACAAGACAGCCTAGATAATTAACAAAATACATACACATATACATGCATATACACAAGCACACATGCACACCCATACAAACAAGCATAATTCATACATAGAATAACCAAAGCATACTCGTTTTAACCAAAGCAAAATAAAATACAGTGCCCCAGATGGCTAGAGATCAAAAATACCTCAGTTGTATCTTTCCTTCAAAAGTCAGGAGTCATAAAATAGGGATGAAAATCCCAGATCGACTTTAGAGGCAAGGCTAAAGTGAGACAGTTAAAGCCATCCTGATGGGGTAGGGTTGAGTTAGTTAGGATAATGGAGATAAAAATAGAGGAAGGCAGATAATTATTGTATGTCAGAAATTCATGGAATGTGACAGACTTGAAGAAGAAATGTTTCTGTGTGCCCACAAATAGGAAAGCCACAGTATAGATAAAATGGAGGCGAATTAGAGAACTGAGGAGTGGCATCAGAACTATTTGGACTAGGTTCTATTTTACTTTAAAAGAAAAGATTTTTTATAAAAAAGAGAAAAGAAAGGAATGAAGGAAGGAAGGAAGGGAGGGAGGAAGAAAGGAAGAAAGGAAGGCAGGAACGAACGAAGGAACGAAGGGAGGAAGTTAGACAGTCTAAATGGTCATTTTTGTCTCGATTATGCAACTGTCTAAGAAAGCAGTTTACAGTTTAATGCCCTCTGCTCTCAGTTGTCTCTGGGCTCCGCCTCCTCGTGACCTGAGCACTATGAACTAATGGTTGCTTATCCTCCCGTGCCTCCAGCTGATCACCACTCCCAAGGCTGAGAACAACATGTATGTGCAGCAGCGGGATGAGTATCTGGAGAGCTTCTGCAAGATGGCTACCAGGAGGATCTCTGTGATCACCATCTTTGGTCCTGTCAACAACAGCACCTTGAAGATTGACCACTTCCAGCTAGGTGCATTAATTCATTTATAATTGTGTTTTTTGTTTGTTTGTTTTTGCCTCTTATCTGTGGTGGGCCTGTTGTTATGGGAGAGGTCTTGGGTGGGGGTTGGAGGAGATCAAAAGAAACATTGGTATGTCTGAAGTGTCCTCTGGCTGTAATGACAGAGATGATGTCTGCCTGGCTATCTATCTGTCTGTCTATCTATCTATCTATCTATCTATCTATCATCTATCTGTCATCTATCTATCTATCATTTATCTATATCTATCAGTTATCTATCATCTATCTATCTATCTATCTATCATCTATCTATCTATCTATCTATCTATCTATCTATATCTATCTATATCTATCTATATCTATGCAGCTAGGAACACTCCGGCTTAAAGTGTTAGCATTTTGAAACAAAAATATGTAATACCCTCTCCCTTCTTTTTCAAGTCAGAAAGATGGTGGGAAAATGAGAAAAGTATAATATGATTGGGGAGAATGAGAGAGCATGCATTCCCTTTCTCTTGGGTCCTGAGTCCTCTTCCCTGTGAGCAGCACCAGTCAATATGCCTACATGCTCTATGCTACAAGTGATTCATCCCATCATACATGGGGACCTGCCAGACCCCTAGACTCTGGCAAGCCTGGGGAGGTAATTAGCTAGAGTTAGAAACGTTAGCCTAAATGAAAAGTCACTGAAAATATGGGTTGAACTTTACCCAAATCCTTTTGGAGAGCGGAAGAATTTGGCTGAACTTTAGTGTTTTCACAATTTTCATGTTGATGGTGTGTATGAGACTCATGAGGCACTGCTGGCCTCAGGCAGCTGAGTGCTCCACAGCTGTTCCCATGGGCTTGCTGAAGAGTCGCCGATGAGCTAAGCCTCGCGTCCAGAAGGCTGGAACCAGAGGCAATGGCTTCTTTTATGTTTCTCTTATGCATAAAACATTTTATGTAACAATTTTGTGTGTGTGTTTGTGCGTGTGTGTGATTTTGGTAATCTTTTTTATCCCCAATTATTCTCTCTCATACCTCCTCCCTTTCCCACTGAAACCCTTATTCCTCACAAAAGTTTTATCTTTTAAAAAATCTTTTTTTAAAACATTAGTTCACTACTTTTGATGTTTAGCTATAATTAAAGTTCCTTGAATTAATTTTTTATATTTCATTATCCTCAATATTTTCATAGAATATATATTCTATATTCTATACTTCTACAAGTATATGAAAAGATTAACATTTACACAAAATAATATAACATAGCTCAGAGTTTTCTGATGCGAGATGTTGGTACAAATGACACATCTGTCCTAATGATGGTGTCAACTTGATTTGCATATGGACTAGTTTTCTGAACTATGAATTTTAATTATGACAACATTAAAATAAGATCTATTGTCTTAACACGTGTTTTACTGTAAAGTATAGTAGTCTAAGTATGGGCACAATGCTACCCACTAGTTCTCTGGAATGTGGCTGTCCATTTTCAGCTATGCGTTCTCTTTCATTAGCTCACTATCCCCTGAGGTGGCTCAAACTACAAATAAATAACACTCTTCTTATGCCCCATCATAAATCACCATAAATAAGTAGCTGATTTGTGAACTCTATCCCTCTGCAATGTGGATGTTTAGAGACAGGAATACTGTCCTTAATCAACAATACCCAGTTATGGTGACACACATCTTTAATCCCAGCACTTGGGAGGCAGATACAGATGTATCTTTTTGACTCTGAGGGTAGCCTGGTCTACATGGTGAGACTCTGCCTCAAAATATGAAAAACAACCATCAACTAAAACCAACAAACAAAAGAAGTCACTCTGGAGGCCAGTAGATCCACATCCAAAGAACAATTAATTTGTTATGTGATCTCGGGCAGGTTAGCTATTAAGTCTTTAAAGAAATCAAGCCTCCTTCATAGGCTGTGGTAGGATGAAATAAGATTGTGTGGACACACCCCTGCTATTTTTGTGGCATCCTTATCACCACTGTTGAATCAGGTAGCAGTTTGGAGATCCAATGAGCCATCACAGTTGTCACCAGGAAAACAATTGCTATAGCTCTCTGCTAATGATAGAATGCTGACTTGCAACTGCTCTTTCGGGTCAGATTGCATTAGCCCTCCTGATGATGAACAGAGACGCCCAAGAGAATAACAACAGAAAGGCATATTTAGTGGTTAACAGGGATTCAAACTATTTGCTTCCCGGAGTTTCACACAGTCTTGAGCCAGCAGGATCCATGACACTCCAGATGTCTGGAGAGGAAATGGGCCTTCAGTCCAGCACAGACTGGTGCTGGCAGATGATGAAGGTCCTCCCCAGCCAGGTGTTCTCCGTGTCAAATGCGCTACCTACAAATTCTTCCACAGCGTTCCCATTCCTTCCTTAGTTCAGAGGAGTTTGGAAAAGTCATCAATCCTGGTAGAGTCATATTCTAAGCATCTGGTAACGCCTTGGAAAAATTTTTAGCATTATTCTGGTGTTTTCTAGAAATCTGGATTGAATGTGAGCTGTGGGGGGATGAGGTGTTGCTGCTGTTGTTGTTTTTCTGATTTATTGCAAGTCAGGTCTTGTAGTTTACAACTCGGTCTGCAAGAGCGACAGCACTGGGCTGATTTAGAGGCAGGGGAGGATCTCTCACCTAATTCCTGGAAGGCCCTTCCCTCCCTGTGCTGTGACCCAGGTTACCCTTGTGAGAAAGGCTCGCAGCTCTTTCAGCCAAAGCTGGGAGTCAGTTATGGGAAAATAAAACTTGGCGTGAGCCGCGGTCTCAGTGAACCAAATCCCAGCTTTGTCTGATTTTCAGCAGGACGTCTGTTCCATGGCTTTGCTTCTCCTTAAATATGAAGCAACTGCTGTGTTTTACTAGGCCTTGAAAGCAGACGCTGATAACCAGACACAGTGTAGGCTGCCCTCACCCTCTGGTCCATCTTGTTAAATGTCGTTGTAACATCTGGTGTGGACCTAAAACACTAGGAAACTTAACTTAAGGATTCAGACATTAGTCTAAAGAAAGTCATGAGGCTTGCACAAATTCCAATGCCCTCTGGGTTTTGCCAATACAGATGTATGAGATGCTAAAATAGATCCACACATAAAGGCATTCTTTACTGTTATGTAAAATGTCACTGTAGCATAAGAGTATTGGTGTTGAGTGGAAAGGTCATAGACAGAACTGACCAATATAGGAAGAAGTTGCTTGGTAGTAGTTCTTTATTAAACAATGAAATGAGGAAGAAGAATATAGCAGGTGAGGCTTTTTTTTCCTAGAAAAATATAAAGTTGAAAATTACTTTTACATTGGTATTAGATCCCCAAATATTAAGGTCTAAAACACAAGGAGTACTTTAAACTCCCTCTCTCTCTTCTTCCCCCTTCCATCTCTCCCTCCCCTTACCCTGCCATGAGTGTATGTGTGTGTGTGTGTGTGTGTGTGTGTGTGTGTTGTGTGTTCTGTGCAGATGCCTCACCTTCCCTGAGTGTGACTACATTCAGAGGCCATAGGAAGACATCTGATGTCTTCTATTACCCTCTACTAATGGGGGAGTGTCATATATCAATCTGTTGATTCCATTGGTTAAGCAATAAAGAAACTGCTTGGCACTCATAGGTTAAAACATAGGTGGGTGGAGTAAACAGAACAGAATGCTGGGAGAAAGAACCTGAGTCAAGGAGTCGCCCTGATTCTCCCACTCCAGACAGACGCAGGTTAAGATCTTCTCTGGTAAGACACCTCGTGGTGTTATAGGGATATTAGAAATGGGTTAGATCAATATGTAAGAGCTAGCCAATAAGAGGTCAGGCAGTGTTTAAAAGAATACAGTTTCCGTGTAATTATTTCGGGGCATAAGCTAGCCATATGGGCGGCCAGGTGCCGGGGACGCAGCTCTGCCTCTCATACTACAATACTCTAGAGCCGGGCGGTGGTGGCACACGCCTTTAATCCCAGCACTTGGGAGGCAGAGGCAGGCGGATCTCTGTGAGTTCGAGACCAGCCTGGTCTACAGAGCTAGTTCCAGGACAGGCTCCAAAGCCACTGTGAAACCCTGTCTCGAAAAAAAAAAAAAATACTACAACACTCTACCTTATTCCTCTGAGACAGGGTCTCTTGTGGAATGTGAGCATATTGTTTCCACTAGGGCTCCCAGTATCTGCCCGTTCCACCCACTAATGCTGGAGTTATGGGTTTTTATGTGGTTAAGGGATTTTAACTTAGGTCTTCCTGCATGCATAACAAGTGCTCTTGCTTGCTGGTCTACCTCCCCAGTGCTGATAGCTTCTTTTGAAGGAATGACTGTTTAAGGGTAATTAACAGAAAGGGTGGAATACACCAACAAGAAGAAACAACGTATAAAGTGTTTATATGAAGAAGGAATACTCACTGATAATTTTGTTTTGTTTTATTTTTTCGAGTCAGGGTTTCTCTGTAGCTTTGGAGACTGTCTTGAAACTAATTCTTGTAGATTAGGCTGACCTTGAACTCACAGAGATCTGACTGCCTCTGCCTCCAGAGTGCTGGGATTAAAGGTGTGAGCCATCACTGTCTGACAATACACACTGATGAATTTAAACTAACATTTATAAAGAATGACAGAATACATTCTAGCCTAAAATATTTTTCCTTCGATTTTATTGAAGAGAATTATGCTATATGGTGAAGCTCACCATCATCAGTATCCATAGTGATCCCCAAATCCTACTTTCCCTCTGAGGCAATCCAACTGATCCTCTGACTCCAACTATTGTTTTCATCTGTGGTTACAAAGTCTGGCAACTGCCTTTTTCTAGACCTCACCACCCTTAGTAAGGCAGAGAGTCTGGGTGAGTGGATTTCCACAGTGTCTAGGTGTAACACCCGATTTGGTGTTACACCCTCGGTACAGTTTGCGCGCCACTGTACCGAACGCTAGTCGGGCAAAGGCCTGGAGGTTGAAAAGAACACTCAGAAAGACCAGGGTCATTCGAAAGGAGAACAGCCGAATGCCACTTTATTTAGCCTTAGGGAAGTCCTTAT